ACATACGTTGTTCCCTTTGTCATCGGTATGTTACTTGCCCGAGATTCGATCGTCGGTATCCAATACCTAGTTCAATCTCGTCACCGGCAAGTCTCTTTACTCGTTCCGTAATACATCATCCCGCAACTAACTCATTAGTTGCAATGCTTGCAAGGCTTAAGTGATGTGCATTACCGAGAGGGCCCAAAGATACCTCTCCGACGATCGGAGTGACAAATCCTATTCTCAAAATACGTCAACCCAACATGTACCTTTGGAGACACCTGTAGAGCACCTTTATAATCACCCAGTTACGTTGTGACGTTTGGTAGCACACAAAGTGTTCCTCCGGCAAACGGGAGTTGCATAATCTCATAGTCATAGGAACATGTATAAGTCATGAAGAAAGCAATAGCAACATATTAAACGATCGGGTGCTAAGCTAATGGAATGGGTCATGTCAATCAGATCATTCAACTAATGATGTGATCCCGTTAATCAAATGACAACTCTTTGTCCATGGTTAGGAAACATAACCATCTTTGATTAACGAGCTAGTCAAGTAGAGGCATACTAGTGACACTCTGTTTGTCTATGTATTCACACATGTATTATGTTTCTGGTTAATACAATTCTAGCATGAATAATAAACTTTTATCATGATATAAGGAAATAAATAATAACTTTATTATTGCCTCTAGGGCATATTTTCTTCAATTCCATGAATGAAGTATCCAGAAAATCCTTGATTTAGTTTTGAGTAATAAACTAATAAATATGTAACCAACCCGCTATTGAAGACAGAAATAATAGAAAAAGAGCTCCAATATAAAGATCCTCATTGGTAATCTTTCATTAGTCCATATGTCTAGAAAAAAATATCTCGTGTTTTCCATTTCCATTCCCATACCAATATGGTCATCTATATGATTAGACCGTGCCGCTTCACTAGACTTTCCTGAACCATTCATTTGATCCCCATGGTCGTGACACCACATTCTAAAAAAAGTTTTCAAAACTCAATGCAGCTTCACCATGCTGTTTTCTTAAAAAAAAGTCATCATGGTTAGCTTTATTAACTCATGCAACACTTACATCATTCAAAAGGTAGCCTGATACGCAACTATGGGGATCATTGTCCCAAGAATAAGAAAAGATTATTATGAAAACTAAAGCTAGCTAGCTCATGAGCCACTTCATTAATTAACTTCTCGGGGGCAACGTTTGAATTCCATAATCCCAATTAGCAATGGCGTGTGCACACAATCTGCATAAAATAGCCATTACAGAGTTCCACCATTAGATTGCCCATTAAAGAAATTAATAACCTCTATAGAAGAAATCCCTCGGCTTGGTCTCCCTGGATCGCACTATCGCTCGACAGCGATACAAGATCAGATTCTTCCACATATATGCTAACAAAGCGCCGCAAAATCAACTACATTGCGCGATTGAAACACGGCAACAGGGGCGCATCTACCCAGCGCGATATGGAGACTATGGCCACCGATTACTTCTCGGACATGCTGGGCAAAGCCTCCATGTGGCCACATGCTATCAACCTCCATGCCCTTCCCCTACCCAGGTGGATCTAGCAGAGCTTGATCTGTCCTTCTCAGAGCGAGAAGTTTGGGAGGCCATCCGCGCCCTCCCCGCGGACAGCGCCTCGGGGCCCGACGGGTTTACGGCCCCATTCTACCAGTCTTGCTGGGCCACGATTAAAGGAGACATCCTGGACACGATCGATTAATGTTTTAGGCTGGACGACAGCTCCATGCACCTCCTCAAC